CTGAAAATCAATGGATAAGTATCCTTGGGTGAGGACTAAAAAAAATAAAATAAAAGTAGAGGGAACAGTGGTTGCCAGGGGCTGGGGGTGTGGAAAATGAGGATCGAAGGGTACAAAGCTTGAGATATGAAGGATGAACATGTGTTGGAGATCTAGTGTATAGCATAATGACTATAATTAACAATACTTCATTGTACACTTGAAATTTGCTAAGAGACTAAATCTTATTTTACTAAATGTAAATTATACCCTCATAACTGACTGCCTCAAAAAAGTAGTGGTAGATATTTGTGTCTTGTGTCTTTTGATTTTCAAATGGTTTAGTGACTAGCTTCCTGTCAGAAAAGCACCTCATTCTTTTTTTCTCCCTTTATCCTCACCTGAGCATATGTGTGTTTTCTCTTTAATTGATTTTAGAGAGAGGGAAAGGGAGAGAGAGAAAAACATCAATTGGTTGTCTCCCATAACTTGGGATCAAACCTGCAACCTATGTATGTGCCCCGACCGGGAATTGAACCCGAAACCTTTTGTTGTAAGGAACACACTCCAAGCAACTGAGCCACCTGGCCAGGGCAAAACTCCATTCTTTTTTTTTTAATCCTCACCTGAGGACATTTTTCTATTTTTTGTTCAGGTAGAGTGGGAGGGAGAGAGAGGAACAGAGAGAGAGAGAGAAACATCAATGTGAAAGGGACACATCGGGTGGCTGCCACCCACACGACCGACCAGGGCCGGGGACAAACTGCAACCGAGGTACGTGCCCTTAGTGGGAACCGAACTCGGGTCTCTCCGGACCGCAGGCCGACGCTCTAACCGCTGAGCCAAACTGGCCAGGGCCAAAAGTCCATTCTTATGCACTATTTTCTGAAGATGTCAGATGGGGTCAAAATTAATAATATTCCCATCAGGAAGGATTTTCATTAACTTGCCCAAGTCTGGGAACCATGAAAAGTAATTTAGAAATAATCCATGAGCAACCTTTCATGGCTTAGCCCCTAGGACTCACTTCCTCTTCTCTGTTTTGTAAACTTTTAAAATGCTGCCTCTAGAATCCCTTATGCTTTCAGCATCGTCACTCCTTTCGACCGTGTACGGACTGCGGACTGAGGTCAGAGAAGCGAGCGGGACAGGATAGTGACAGCACAGGAAGGGGGCATCCTTCAGACTAAAGGTTATTTGAGGGCAGGTGCAGGAACACGTTTACTTAGGGCACCAAGCACAGTTGTCTGAGGGCAGGAATCCCCACTAAACCTCTTAGCAAATGCGCATATTTAGGTCTGTGGGACGCAAGCCGACAATTCTTTCCATATCCCCACCGGAAAGACCAAGCCTTTGGAGGAATATGAAGCACTGCCCAGTCCAGGTGAGGCAGAGACTGAGTCAGGGGTTTCAGTTTAGTCAAAGGGATGCAGCAACTTACACATCTTCCTTCGTCTCTCCCGGCACACCTTCCTCCTGACTCAGGAGCCCAGAGGAGGGCCCGGGATCCTTCCTGGAGAAGTTCTTCGGGCCCTCACCACGTCCACGGGAGCTGGCGTGTGCGCAGGGCCTGTGAGCTGCAGAAAAGAGAAGGTGGAATCTAAATGGGCACAAATGATAGCACTAAAAAAAGAATGTTGGTTCTTGTGACTTAAAAACCAAGCCAGTTCCAAGAGCAAGCTGTGCCTGTGTTCCGAAGCTTCGTGCAGTTTCAGCAAGGTGACCAGCAGTCCCGTATCTTACATTCCTCCTCCCCCAGGTGTGATTGTGATTGCGAAGGGGACATCTTCTTTCCCAATGCTCTGCACAGAGGGCTGGGCTGATGACTGCAGTGAAAGGGTAGGATGTCACTGCTGGGCCGGCCCGGGACACCTGGACCCAGGGCTGCAGCTCGCAGACCGAGAACGACGGGGAGGGGCGGGCAACTCCCCAAGGAGGAAGGCAGAACACTGTGACTGGAAGAGGAGTGTTCACATCAGTGTTTCTGACCTCACCTCAAGTCTGATTACTCAGGACAGGTTAGCACCCAGGTATGTGTAAGTGGGGGAGGGAACCTACCTTTGATTTTTGGTGATATCGAGCCGGGTAAACTGAGTCCAGAGGTTTGGCTTGCATCTGAGAGGCTCTTCCCACCCCAGTGAGTTTGTTTCTTGTGCTCCTTGCTCTGCCTTCTGTGGGTCATATTCCACGCAGGACCCGACTTGTCCCCTCCACCACTGTGTCCCAGGTCATGGTCATCGTCACGGCCCAGGTGACCTTCTTTAGCAGAAACAAGGTGGGCGCGTCTTAAAAAGAACTCTTACTAAAAAAGTAAGTCACAATTTTTTAAAAAAGGAAACAAATGAAGAAAGTAAAACAAAATACTGGACTTAAAATGCCTTAATAGGGCATGGTGTATAGGGTATGGAGTTTTTCGTTCAATTAAGTACAGCCTGGTCATAGGTTAGATTCTGATGTCAGAGCAGTAGGGACCTTTAGAAAGTCCCCAGGTTCACCCGCGTTATCCTATTGATGGGGCCACTGCGGGAAGGGAGCACCTTCCCCAAAGTCAACGCTCCCATCAGTGTTAATGTCAAGGTCACAGCCGGCCCCACACTGACATTTAGTTCTGTTTTCACGTGTGAGGCTTTGGCTGCTCCAGCCTTCTAGAATGATCTTTCATACTACAGCCCACACGTTGAAATAGCTCATCAAAAAAAAAATTTTTTTTTTTTTTTTTTTTTTTAGCAATTTATGTGACCAGATAATGTGCTCTTATGGTTCCAAATAAAAAATTAAATAAGGACTGACATAAAAAGCCTTACTCTCTCCTCGCCCCTATTTCCCCTATCCATAGCACTGCTTTTTATTCGTTTCTTGTTTATTCTCCCAGGAATATTTTGTGCATATGCAAACAACTCAGTGACATACCCACTCCCCATTTAAAAATGATTATAGCATACTCTGTTTTGCATTTTTCCCCCCACTGGAGTACTTACCAGGGAAAACTTTCCATGTGAGTATATAATGAGCATCCTTATTTGTCTTTGCAGCAATTTTGATGACTTCCAACATTTTACTATTACAAACGACACTGCAACAAATAACCTTATATAAGCGTCATTTCGTGTGCTTGTGATTAAATACGTAAGATAGCCCTGGCCGGTTTGGCTCAGCGGTTAGAGCATCGGCCTGTGGTCCGGAGAGACCCGGGTTTGGTTCCCGCTAAGGGCACGTACCTCGGTTGCAGTTTGTCCCCGGGCCTGGTTGGTTGTGCGGGTGGCGACCACTCGATGTGTCCCTTTCACATCGATGTTTCTCTCTCTCTCCCTTCCTCTCTCTCCCTCCCACTCTACCTGAACAAAAAATGGAAAAATGCCCTCGGGTGAGGATGTTAAAAAAAATACGTAAGATAAATTCCACAAAAATGAGATAGCAGAATCCTAAGGGTATGTGCATTTGTTGGCTCCACAGATGTCACTGAATTCAGTGCAGACTCTGACCATATTTGAGAATGCCTCCTTCTCCAGGTCCTTGCCGACACAGCCCACCACCAAAGGTTATATCTTTGTGCATTTGATAATAATAAGGTGGTATCTCTGTGTTTTTCAATTCAAACTATAGAAATAGGAACATTAACAACTGCATCTTCCTTCTTCATTTCTCCCAAATCCCGTTTCCAGGGTAACTTCCACAATCACTCTGATGACAGTGATTTCATTAGTTGTACTGGCCCCCTTTCTCCACTCACAACACACCCTTGACATTCAAAACATACCGCTCTGCCCCGCTCATTCACACAGCTGATATTTCCTGAGTGTTCATCAGGTTTCAGGCCCCAGAGAGAAAGTCCTGAACAAGATGGACACATTCCCGGTCTCATGGGGCTTATATTCTAGTTGGAAAGACATTTAAACATGGATGAACTGTCACTGAAGAATAACACAGGGTGACGTGGTAGAGGGGCTGAGGCGGGAACTGAATGGCCCGCCCCTCCCCCGCTTCCCCTGGATTGTTATGAGCAAACAGTACACTCACTATTAATAGTAGCGATTTTTTATTTATTAGTTTTGGCCTGAGCTGACCTGTTGCTTTGGTATTATGTAGACAGAACTTTAATATCACCATTAAAACTGCTCCAGAGGGGCTTGAGCTGGAGACAGAAAAAGCCACTCCAGCTCCCGGAGGGGCGGGTGCTCAAAACCCAAATGTCAGTCTAATTCCCAAGGACACAAACCAGGACTCAGTTCAGGGAAGATCAGCCGCCCCTTTCCACCAAACTCAATAAACAGCTTATTGTCTGCGGTGGGTTTAGAAAATCTTGTTTGGATTTGGAATCTAGCCGAGTGGCCTCACGTGGATTAGGTACTCCGAGGACCAGGGCAAGGGAGCAGTTTTTCCGATCCCCACCCCTCGTGTCTGTGACTTTGGATCGGCCTTAGGGGAGACCGAAAGGCTCTGAACAGGTAGCTTGATGAAAGCAGAGAGTCAACTTGCTGCTGTTTGGACTCCAACCTTAGCCTTGGGTCATGGTTTCCCCTTTGGAAGCCACCCACATTCCCACCTTAGACTTCAGTGCCGATGTGTCTCGTCTTTTTGTATTTAGGTCCTGCTTTCTCCCAGATGGGGACCTTGCTTAGCTCTCACCTATCTCCCTGAGGCCCTGGCCCTGTTATCTGGTCTTAGATCGCCCAGAAAATTCTCTGGCCATCGCCAGCTACCAGGTATGCTGTTCCATGTCCCCACAGCCCGGGGGGGGGGGGGGCTTCTCCACCTCATCTCCCTGGACGTTTGGTCAGGCGGCTCTTTCTGTGGCCAGCACCCATCACCACAAGCTCCCACCTGTCCCTCCATCACCTTCAGCTGCTCCCGCCCCAAGGTGCCCAGCTTCTTCCCCTCCGGCCCGTGCCATGGCTGGACGAGGGACGTGGCTTCCAACCATCTTCCTTAAGGGAAACACATCATTGTTGGCTGAATTCAGGAAGCACTAAAGAATCCTAGAACTCTTCCAAATTTAATGAGAAATTCGGAACTGTGTGGTCTAGTCTGTCCCCTTCTGTTATCTCTGCAGCCCAGGGAATCAAGTGGCTTGCTGAGGTCACACCGTGAGACTGGCAGAATTCAGTCTTCAGAGTGTGCTGCCCCCAAATAGAAGGTGAAGTCCAGCCGGGCGAGGGTACACAGCTGCACTGCCGGTGTCACTCCAGTGTCCCGAGTGTGCAGTGAAGGCCTGGCATGTGTAGGAACTCGACCAGTCGTGGTGAATGAATGAACAAGTCTTGCTGAGGAGCTTTTTGGCCCGTCTCCCTGCCCTTCGCTCTGGGCTCAGAGCCGAGTTGAGAGTAAAGCTGCTCCTTCTCGTATGGAGCTTAGAGATAAACAGGGATTTGGACCTGAAACAAATGATCACAGGAGGTTAATGGAATAATTACAACTATCTGGCCCTTTACAGACAAGAGGACAGGAGCGAGGCAAGCCTCGGAGGTGACCACCGGAGGGAGGTGGGTCAACCCTCGGGCCCAGCTGTTCCCTCGCAAGGTCTTGTCTCATTTCAGAGAGCTGCTCTGTTGTCTAGGCTAAGGGTGTGGCCAAGGCCTGCCTGAGGGAAGGCAGTGACCTCAGGAGCCCTGCCAGACTCTGTCACACCTACAGGGAAGTTGTCTCTGCTTGGAGTGCCGGGCCAGGCAGGGACAGGCCGGGCTGTGAGTCTCCACCCATCAGCTCTAGACTGTATTCTCGAAGCCCCTGCACCGTCAGTCTCTGCCCACGATGTTCTTTCTGCCTGGGGTGGCCATTTCTGCCTTTCATTCCCTGTCAAAATCCTTTCCACTCTTCAATGTGAAGTTTAAATACTACCTCCTTCAGGAAGTCTAGCCTGATTACCACCCCATGTCCTCATCCAGGAGGAAGTGACGGCTCCATCTTCCGGCTTCACATAGCGCTCATTGTCTCCCTCCCTTGTTGCAAAGACAGAAGCAAGTTATGGGTTCCTTGGGGTGTGTTAGAACATTCATCCATTCATTTCACAGCTGTTTACTGAGCACCTACTATGGGCCAGGGGTTGTAGACAAGGTCTCTGCTTTCATAAGGTCTGCTTTCGGATAGGAGAATCAGAAATAAAAACAAATAAGTAAAATATTTCCAGGTTGATAAGGGCTAATAAAAAGCATGATAAAGAGTTTTGGGGTGGGGTGTGTGTACACTAGGCTAGACAGGTCAGTCAGGGACAGCTTGCTGAGGAGGTGAAATTTGAACTGAGGAATGAATGATGAGAAGCAGCCAGCTATGGGAAGAGCTGGAGGAAGGGCGTCCCAGGTCTCGGGGAGGGCAGGTGCCAAGATCCCAAGGCAAGAAAAATCTTGGTGTGTTTGAGAAACAAAATAAGGCTAGTGTTGTTGAAATGGGTGTGTGTGTATGTTGGTGGGGGTGGGGAGGAGAAGGTGTCACGAAGGTGGCAGGACCCAGGTCAGATCTGGCATTGTGGGCCATGGGAACCTTCCTAGATGTAGAAAGCCACTGGGGAGTGTCAAGCAGGGGAGATGTGAGAATTGACCTGTTCATTCATTCATTCATTCATTCATTCATTCATTCATTCAGTGATGACTCATGCTCTCTGGTGACATACAAAGAACTAGGTGCTGAGAACACGGGAGGACCAGAGATGCTGCCTGCCCTCCAGATGTGTTTGTGGAGTGAGGTGCCTCCCCTGAATAGTCATTCCACGTGCAAGGCCTGCATTTCCTCTTTGCTGATTCAGATATCTGATCTGTCAGGTTCCTCTCCCAAGCGTGAGCTCTGTGAGCCCCTGCTGCATTGCTGGAAGCAAGTTGGAAATGCAGAGTCGGAACCCTGCACAGACCGACAGAATCGGCATCTGTACCCTAGTTGATCTGAAGTCCCTTGAAAGCTGGAGGAGACTGGTCTGGAAGGAATCAAGGCTGGTAACAGACTCTTCGCGACCACATGGAGAAGTCAGGAATGAGTCCAAGGCCAGCTCAACAATCAACCGTGTGGGGCTAGTAAACTCTTACATTACCGCTTCTCAAAACTCGAGGTGTGGCCAATCTCCAGGAGTCTTGTTAAAATGCAGCTTCTGATGCAGTGAGTTTGGAGTGGGGCCCTCAGTGGTGCGTTTCCAACAAGCTTGAGGGTGACGCTGGTGCTGTTGTCCCCGAAGTACAGAGGACTGCACGGCACTCGCCACGTTACCCACTCGATCTTCACGATCACTCTGATGTGAGATGTTTATTTACATTCTGTGGATTAGGAAACACAATTTATAGAGCTTAAAATCGAGCTGTGGTATCGCAGCTTGTTTTTCTCAAAATGAGGCTGATGATATTACTGCCCATGTTAGAGAATTTCTTGAGGAGGAAGTGAAACAAAGCATGTCGTGTGCGTAGCATGATGCACGGCACACAGCAAGGGTTTTGCAGCTTTAAAAAATTCTCTTTGGAACTTCAGTTCAGCTTTTCTGACTCCAAAGTGGGGGTCCTCCCTATCATATTGGTAGAAACCAGAGGTTGGCTCAGCTGGAAGATGAAGTTAGGAATTAAATATTTAGCAAGAATCGAATATGAGTCCTGGCCTGTTTGGCTCAGCAGTTAGAGTGTTGGCCTGCGGACCAAAGAGTCCTGGGTTCGGTTCCCACTAAGGGCACGTGCCTCAGTTACAGTTTGTCCCCAGCCCCGGTTGGGGTCGTGTGGGTGGCAACCAGTCAATGTGTCTCTCTCACATCGATGTTTCTCTCTCTCTTTCTCTCTCCTCCTCCCACTCTGTCTGGGGAAAAAAAGAGAAGAATCAAATATGAATAGAATCTGCTGGTGGAGTTCCCAAGGACAGTGACAAATTCACTTCTCCTCTCTGAGGACATCTGTGTGTTTGGAGCTGGTCACCCTGAGAAGCTCCCCTTCTCCAGCTGTGCTGGGGAGAACATGCTCTCTGGTTCTTTCTCCCCCTCTACACCACAGGCTCACTGCCCATCTGTTTTGACGACAGCCATGACCTCTAACCTATCACAGTTCAATTGCAGAGATCTCATCATCCTGCCCTACTCCAGGCAGAACTTCTCCCGGAGATGCCCTCATCCCCTCGGCCTCCAGCAAGTTCCCTGTGGTCATTTCCATGAAATAATGAGGCATCTCCAAGAGCAGGTCATGCCTCCTTCAGGCTTAGTTGATGAATGACCTTGTCACTGTACTTGAGGAGGAAAAAAAAAAAGCAAACTACTAAGGTTGCCATTCAACGATTATGACCACAGGGTCCCTGCCTACTTTTTCAGCCTCCATTCAAATGCCTCTACCAAGCCCCGCCCCTGCCTGCTCACTCCCGTCATTCCCCTAACGCTTCATGTCTTTGTTTGGGAAATGCTCACCTGCACGCCCGGTCACCTGGCAACCCCTGAAGTCACAGCCTTCTGAAGCCTTTCCTAATGCATTCGTTCAACCGTCAGGCGTTTACAGTTGGCACATGCAATCTGTGCCAAGTCTGTTCTAGGCATTGAGAATACAGTGACGAACACAAGGGTCAAAGTCCCTGCCCTGGTGGAGATTGCATTTCATCTGGGGGGAACAGACAATATGCACTATACAAATAAATAAACAAGGTAATGTCAGATGGTGAAAAATGCACGCTGGGGAAAGCGGTGGGGTGACAGAGACGGCTGGGGTGTCTTCGGGGCAGCTGCAGGAAATGATAAGATGACTGGGGAAGAGAGCTTTGAGGAGGGTGTATAAGCTGAGGCGGACTGATACTAAGGAGCTTGCCAGGTGACGAGATGCGGAAGATCATTCCAGGCAGGCAGGAAGGAAAGGCAACCAGGAGCAGCACGAAGGGCAGGAGGTGGAGGAGGGCAGGAGAGCTGTGGGCCGAGCTGGGGAGGCGGGCTGGGCCGGGCCATGCTGGCCCTCTGCAGGCCCAGAGTTCTTTGACACTAACTCTGTGAAGTCCTGTCCACGCTGGCGTGCAATTGGGGCATCAGGGACTATTCTTTTTCATGTCTATAGTCCCAGAACAGTAGCCAGGACTCACTAAGTGTTGATCCAATGGGGGCCAGTTTGAGACAGAGGTGGAGAGTGTGGGAATGGAGTCCGGGCCATGCAGCACGTCCGAAGGGGTCTTTGATGAATCAACACCCGCCAGACACATTTGCCCCACTAATTCTGTAGTAACCTCGCCTATGCCCTGGTCTGAAAACAGCTGTGGAAGAAGCTGCCTCTGGCTGCGAGAAGCATAAATCACCGTCTCTCCCAGGCGGAGGCGGAGCTGAACAGGAGATGTTTTGGAAAGGGACCTAGGCAGTTGATCAAGACCTAATCAATTTCAAAATAGACACTGGAACTAAGTACAAATGACCTAAGAGGAAGGGCAGAGGTGTGGCCTCCCCAGGAAATCAAATAGGTGGGCAGACAATGAGCCTTGGCAAAGAGGGGATCTGACAGCAACGGATCTCTGGAGAGAAGTCAGCCCCGACCAGCGCGAGCGTGCCAGCGAGCGAGGGTCTGAGTCACACATAATGAAACATTAGCCACGCTCAGCTTTTCCTGCCCGCCTAGTGAAAACCATTTGCTCAAATCCTGTTCTATTTCAGGAAACGCCAGCTGCATCATAGGAAGTCCTGCACTTTCCACATTAGGAACAAGTCACTTCTGTGCTGCGGGTGCTCACCCAGCACCTGGAGGGCTCCGGGGCCCCGCTGCTCACATAATGAGGGGCTGGGCACGGTGTACCCTGGGAGCTGAGCAGGCTTTACCCCAGGCAGGGAAAACCTGAACCACAGCCTTGAAAATCCATGAAAACATGCATTTCAGTCCCCAAGGAGCCTTAAAAATCCCTGTGCCAGCTTCAAAGGACAGAGAGAACAGTGGCCAGATTTGCAAACTGTCCTGCCCCTCTCGCCCCCTCCTGCCTTGGGAGAGGACCGCTGAGGGCCGGGCCTCGCCATCCCGAGGGGCAGCATGAGCGAGGACCTCCTTTCGGGCTGATGGCTTCTGTGTGCCCTGACCTCCAGCGACTTCCTCGTGGCCACTGCTGAAAACTGCTCTCGAGGTGGATCGGGGGCAGGCGAGTTGCAGGTGACCTCTCTGAGTCTGAATGCCCACACCTGAGAGTCTCACAGGACAGAGAGTCTTTACGGGGTGGGCCTGGGAAGCCCCCCTGCCCAATTCCTCATCGTGGCAGGTGGTCTAGGGTTCTGTTTAAGCTCTCAGATATTCAGAAGTCTCTACAGACTTTCTGGGTTTTATTTGGGATCTTAGCAGATACTTCTATTACAAGAACTTCTGTAACACATGAATGAGTGGTTGGAGAAAACAACAACAAAAAATAAAACATTTTGATCGGGGCTAATGAGGGGAATCACCGTTCCGCCAATTTGAAAAGGATTTTTTTTTTTTTTCATCCAAAATGAAGTGGATCAAGACCGGTCTTCAGTCATGGGGAAGAGAAAATATAAGAATTTTCCAAAGTGCTGGTTTGGTGACTGCAGCCCGGTGTCACAGAACGTACTTTGGGGGTCACTGTTGGCTCTGCCGTTCACTTGCTGTGTGCCCTTGGACGAGGCACCGCCTGTCTCTGGGCCCTGGCTTTCTTTGGAAAATGAGAGGGTTAAATTAGGTCATGATTTCTTCAGACTTGTGACTAATCATCACAACATTAAAAACAGTTAAGATGGAAAGTTGTGCCCAGTTTACCCCTCCTGATTAAGCGAAGGTGAACATCCCAGAGTAGTGAAACCGTGTCTTTAACACCTGTCAACACCCCGATCTTTCTGTTCCACAGAGGGAGGCAAATCGGGCTCAGCTTTCCTTAGACTGCACATATCTACCTAGATGAGAATTTCATCACACTCTTTGGTTGTTTTTGTGGTTACTTTTCCATGACAGTCGTCCCGGTTTTCCATTTTCAGCAGTGATGTCGTGTTTTTTCTTAAATGTGTTTCTGTGGATGAGAACGTTTACAGAAATCTATGAAGGGGGTGTTGGCATGTGGCAAAAACCCTGAGGTCGGTACATGCACTTTGGAAAACCCTGGTCTGGATGGTCCCTGAGTGCTGTCCTGCTCCGAGGGCCATGGCTGCTATGCCGGGAGCTCACACGGCTGGTCTCCAACCGCCGTCAATGAACGCTCTGTGTGTGCACCATGGTATGTCGCTTTTCGGCCACTGAAGCTGAAAGGTCTGGCTTAGTGAGTGGCACGTGGTTGAGGAATGAATGCATAGTTTGGGGAAAGTACAGGGATGTGACATCATTTTATATTTGGGAGCAAAAGGGAAGGAAACCCCTGCATTTCAGACCCTGTGGAGTAGTGGACAGGCACAGAGGGGCAGACACACACACACACATACACTCAAGCTCATTCAAGCACACTATATTTTGAATGGTACTCCAAATTGAATTTTTGTGATAACATTGAAATTTGCAGAATATGTACTATGTGTTGTTTTTTTAAATAATTTGGCTCTTAGACCCTTCTTGGAAAAGGCGACGTTTAAATAATGAATGAGTGAATAAATAAATTTACCTTTTACTTTCGGTTTTTCTTGTTTCCAAATCTCATTGGCTCTCTGCTTGGAGTATTTTTAAATTGACTGGCTGTTTGGTTCAAATCGTGTTTTAAAAAAGTTTTGGCGCGGGCTACAGACCTGGGTGTTTGCGGGTTGGAGTCTGGGCGTGCCACCAAGCTGTGTTGGCTGGGTGACAGTTTAAACACAGCCAGACAGCTGGTCCTGCCGGAGACTCACTGGTGGGCAGATTTCACAGAAACAATGTCCCGGGCCCTGCAGGAGGAGCTGAGGGGCCAGGTAGTGTCCTCACGTCCAAGGGAGACTACTGGATTCAGGGGAGCCATTGCCCAGCCTTCCCCACCTCTGCTTCTATTTCCTTCTCCCCCAGAGGCTGTCGTGGGCTCTCACTTCCACTGGTCATTGGGAACCACTTCCTCTACAGAAGGACAGACTCCGGACTTTCTCATCAGTCCACCTCACATGGCAGGTGCAGGCTTGACCTCATACGGGGAAGAACGGAGAATAGGAGACAGCCTTTCAGATAGGGCCATCTCTGCCCCCTCCGCCCAATTCCAGCCAGTTGGTTTCATTTATTAGCTTTTTCTGAGGGCCAGGAGCATCATGGGCAAAGAAAGTGAAAGCAGAATTATTGCAGCATATGGAAAAACTTTCCAGTCACCCTTGCAGCACAGTTAGGACAAAAAGAACAACGTGATGTACTCCACAGGGCTGTTGTGGGGATGAGCTGAAACAAGGTGGCGAAAGCATCACAGCTGTGTCCTGCTCATCGGTGGCACTCCATAAATAATGGCCAGGGTTATTATTTAACTCCTCACGCTGTAAGTTGCTCCTAGGGGGTCTCAGTGTATGTTTGTTGAATGAGCACATGATGGAACTGGCCACTTTAAGAGGGAGAAAGAGCTAGAGGTGTCCAAGCTGAAGATGTATGTTCCTGGCTTACGGTCCTGATACTCCCATCAAATATCAAAATAGAAATGAAAGTGAGCTCAGAGCCCATGCTTTAGACCTGCACCCACCAGCCCAGCTGTTGACCTTCGGGCAGGGTGACTGGCCAGACAACAGCAGAATGACTTTCTATTCCCCGCCCCTCGCATAATTAATTTTAAAGTTAGAATATGCTTCCAATTCAGCCAACATGCCTCAGACACCAGAGTTTTGCAGCAGGTTTGAATAGGGCAGCATTTGGGAGCAGGGCAGCAGGTGGGTGTTTCCTACTGGCAAATACTTTTAGGGTGTTTGAAGTTTGGCACGAAGATCCAAGGAGTCTGCTTCTGACTTAGTGAAATATTAAGGAGGAGATAAGGTCTCTGCATCCGTCTTCTGTTGAGAAATTCTGTTTCTCTTCTCCTAACCTAGAGGGCGTGATGAAGCTAATCTGGCAGAACCCGAAACTTCGTCAGACCGAATGGGGGAGAGGGGGACAGCAGACAGGGCGTTACGAGAGTAATTATGAGAATCAAGTCCACGTGACAGTCTTGTTCTGAGCCATCTGGATACTGTTGGACTCCCAAAGGCACAGGATGTACTTGTGATCAGTAAATCTCCTACCGTCCCCCAGCCAAATGGTCTCAACATTCGAGGTAGCCTAGGACCCCGATTCCCAAGGCGCAGGGGTCTCAGTTAGAGGTCACTGTTGGACAGACACGCCGTAGAGGGGATCCTATGGGGCGCAGGTTACAGCAAGAGCCACGAGTGGTTATGGAGGGCTTCGGCCTGCCAGGCAATATGCTTAGCACTCTATGTGGGTCATCGCTGCCAATCCTCTGAGCAGCCCTGGGGTGCATGGTCATGAATGTCCACCGTTCACGGTCCCAGGCAGCATTCTCACTTCCCAGAAGCCCCTGATTTGCCTTTGGGAGTCTTCACTCTCCGTGTTTACCGTCTTGATGGAACGGTAAATCAGATGTCTTCCTCTCCCACTACAGTGCTCAGTTTCATCAAATCGCCCTGGTGAGGCAAAGGAAGGTTCGCTGCAATTTCTCTCTTCCGGGACTTGGAATCCCGAGTTTCTCATTCAAG